AACTCAAGATTGGATAATAACTTTTGGCGTTAGAGCGCTCACAAGGTTCAATAAAGTGAAACAAGGGCCATAACTTAAGACGTAATAAACAAACATTGCTGAAATTCAATAGGCTTCTTCATTTCACTAATTTAAATAATGCATAAAAATTTCATAAAGATCGGATGATAACTCGTGGCGTAATAGTGTTCACAAGGTTCCAACTGTTCGTTCTCTTTGACGCTTTCAAGGGTTATCCAATTTGAACAAGACAAAACTCCCAACTTTCAGTTTTACCCGAATGAATCACTTTTAAGGCAGATGTTCTGGTAAACTATAGCGAATGGCTGTGTAAAAATCAACATCCAATCAGATTTCCTTTCTCAAATTATAGCTTACCGCCAAATGGGTGAGTAAATCAAAGCTCTCTATTCAATTAAGTTAACAATCAGTATAGAATAGTTATAGAATAGTCGGGATTTTCAAGTGGCCAATGAAAAGTTTGACCAGAAATGTCTTAAAGATAGGTTGCCAGGCAACGAAACATACGCCCACAGCGGCTAAATCGTCCGAGTGGTCGACAAGGGTTGTCGCATATTTATTCCTTTGTGGGTAATTGGGGGCCTTTACAAGACAGTTCCATACAGATCAGATTATAATTTTTGCTGTTTGAGGGTTCACAAAGTTCTACAAATTGAAACAAGAGTCTCAACTCTGGAAGTAATCTACAGAAATTGTTGAAATTTGACAGGCTTTTTCGTTTCACAAATTTAAATGATGCATATAAATTTCATACATATCGGATGATAACTTTCATCAATCGAGCATTAAAAAGGTTGAACAAAGTCAAACGAGGGCAATAACTCCAGAAGTAAAAAACAGAAATTGCTGAAATTCAATAGGATTCTTCTCTTTACTAATTTAAATGACGAACGTAAATTTCATACAGATCAGCATATAACTTTTGATGTTAGAGCATTCACAAAGTTCAATAAAGTGAAACAAGGGCCATAACTCTAGACGTAATAAACAGAAATTGCTGAAATTCAATAAGCTTCTTCGTTTCACTTATTTAAATAATGCATATAAATTTCAGAAAGTTTGGATGATAACTTTTGGAGTTAGAGCGTTCACAAGGTTCAATAAAGTGAAATAAAGGCCATAACTCTAGACATAATACACAGAAATTGCTGAAATTCAATAGTTTCACTAATTTAAATAATGCATATAAATTTCAGAAAGATAGGATGATAACTTTTGGGGTTAGAGTGTTCACAAGAATAAACAAAGGGAAACAAGGGCCATAACTCTAGAAGTAATAAACAAAAATTGCTGAAATTCAATAGGATTCTTCGTTTCCCTAATTTAAATATTGCATATAAATATCACAAAAATCGGATGTTAACTTTTGGCATTAGAGCGTTCACAAGGTTCAACAAAGTGAAACAGGGGCCATAACTCTAGACGTTAAAAACAGAAATTATTGAAATTAAATAGGCTTCTTCATCTCACTAATGTAAACAACATATATCAATTTTAAAACAATTGGATGATAACTTTTGGCGTTAGAGCGTTCACAAGAAATTGTGGACGGACGGACGGGGACGACAGCAATATACGTCCACATTTCTATGTGGGCGTATAAAAATGCTAGTGTCCGGGTTAAGCGGTTTTGACGTTCACATATTTTGAACTGAACTTTTCAGACAAGGTAAATACACTATTCCTCTATATTTTGGCGCATTCAGAAGGGTTGCCTTTTTTTCAATATTGAAATAACATTAGCTGATTTCCAGATTATCGGTAAAGTTTTTGTGGAAAGAGAGAGAATCAATAGATTGCATACAGGATTAAATATTTCAGATGAGATGGATTTTATTAACTTGCCATTTATATGATCAAGCCCAGTAGCTTTAGAGATATCCATGGCTCGAAATGTTTGTCTGTCTACTTCTCACCGATAGGCAATTTTTTGGTCTCACAGGTAGCAAGTAAAACTACCTTTCGCTTGCGACAGGTGGATTAAATTTTACTTGATGTTAAGTAAATTGACTTAAGACAACAAAACTCACGTCCACGTCCCATACATTTAATTATTCGTTTCTAAATGTAAGAATTAAGCACAGAAATACCGCCATTTGCACTGTTTACATTTCGCTCTGGCGTAGACTACAATTACAGTTTGGAAGTTCAAGTAGCCAATTTTATAACAATGAATTTCACACCATATACGCTTGTTTTCATCTGCTTGACACCAGCTTATAGCATTATGAAGTATCATTTCTAAATAAGTTAAGATAGGTTGCCAGGCAACGAAACATACACCCACAGCAGCTAAATCGTCCGGGCAGTCAACAAGTGTTGTCACATATTTTTTACTTTTTTTTGGTAAAGAAACATTTATAATACACTAAAATCTAATCAAGAGTAACAACTCATGAAGTAATTATCAATCTGAAGTCAATCGGATGATAACTTTAGCCTCTAGGGGGTCACTAGTTTTTTCAAAGTGATCAAGGGCCATAAGTTTGGCAGTAATTATCGGAAATTGTTGAAAATCAATAGGATTCTTTGTCTCATGACCTCAAACACTGTGTATAAATTTAAAATCAATCGGATATTAACTTTAGCCTCAAGAGCATCCACAAGATTTTTTGAAGTGATCAAGGGCAGTAATTATCGGAAATTGCTGAAAATCAATTTGCTTTTTCGTCTTTTGACCGTAAACACTGCGTATAAATTTAAAGTCAATCGGATATCAACTTTGGCCTTTAGGGCATCCACAAGATTTTTGAAGTGATCAAGGGCCATAACTCTGGAAGTAATTACTGAAAATCGCTGAAAATGAATACACGTCTTCGTCTCATGACCTTAAACACTGTGTATAAATTTAAAGTCAATCGGATATTAAATTTGACCTCTAGAGCGTCCACAAGTTTTTTCAAAGTGATCAAGGGCCATAACTCTGGCAGTAATTATAGGAAATCGCTGAAAATCAATAGGCTTCTTCGTCTCATGACCTTATACACTGTGTATAAATTTAAAGTCAATCGGATATTAACTTTGACCTCTAGAGCGCCCACAAGATTTTTTTAAAGTGATCAAGGGCCATAACTCTGGCAGTAATTATCGGAAATCGCTGAAAATCAATAGGCTTGTTCGTCTCATGACCTTAAACACTGTGTATAAATTTAAAGTCAATCGGATATTAACTTTAGCCTCTAGAGCGTCCACAAGCAATTGTGGATGCCGGACCGCCGGACGGATGGGGGCGACGACAATATACGACCACATTTCAATGTGGGCGTATAAAAAAGCACCCCCCAAGTCATCTGAAATAATTCTACCGTAACGACACCAAAGTAAATATAGTGGTGGCTGGAATGGAAATGCACACGCCTCATTGCCTGATGTATTTAATCATTTAAAATGTTTAAAACAATTTCCATAAATAAAGGCTATGAATAATTTATAAGACAAGTTGACAAAATCAAATAATTAAGTAGGAAAAATATTTTATATATAAATATAATTTGTACTTAATTTGTAGAGTAAATATAGACAGGATGTGAGAAAGGAATTCCAGGGGGCATTACCTGTCCTCCACACGCAGTACATGTAAATACGGTGCCATACACATGTGTGATTCGTGTTTTGATATTCAATTTATTACGGATATCATAAAAGCTGAAATCTACACCTCAATGGCGAAGTATTCAATTTAGCACGCAAGTTTGGTACCATGATACTTGGTGGAATTCACGTGGATCGGATGATAAAATCTACAAATTTTCGAGTCGCTGAGCAAAAGCAGATTCACCGACTTTCAAGAATGTTTTGGCTTTCCGATGTTAAAGAAATAAAAAGGTTTCATATTACGATATTTATATGGAGCAATATACGTAAAGACCTAAACAATCTAGAGTGTGTACATGTACCTACATATATGGATATGTGTGATGTGATTGGTTTTTGATAATTGAAAGTGACAGGTTAGTTACTGAAGCGACAGGTATGATAAGACGATGTCTTTAACTTCTTGAGGTGTTAGTGTTAGATTACAGAGTGAGTTTGGGTTGAGTTTAAGTTCAGGAAGCTGTGCATTGGCTTTGTCAAGTTGTGACTGGTTGATAAAGAAGTCATTTAAGCAGTTTGCCTTATCCAAGGGGGTGGAGAAAAGGGTTCCATTGTTAAGAAATGGAGGTAATTCATCATTTTTTATATGTTGCCCTTTCACATTAGAATTGAGTCTTTACTACCAAATGTTGTATTATTATTTTTATTTTGGTCTATTTTTTCGTAAAATTCCTGTTTGCTTTTTCTTGTAAGATTAATACATTCATTTCTAATTGATCAAAGGTTTTGCCAATCCTATTCAGAATTTGTTTTTACAATTTTTTTGTGCACCTTATTTTTCTTTTTGCTTCATTTTCTAACTGTATTATTCATCCATAAGTTATCCCTGGGCTGAACAGTTACTATCTTGTTTGGAATATTATTTTTTGCTATCTTTGTCAGCTCTTGTGTGAAAGAAGCACAGATCGGATGATAACTGTTGTCATTAGAGCGTTCACAGGATTCTACAAAGTGAAACAAGGGTCATAATACTAGAAGCAATTAACGGAAATTGCTGAAATTTAATAGGCTTTTACGTTTTACCAATTTAAATAATGCCATCAATTTATACAGATTGGGATGATCATTGTAGTATGTTCATAAGGTTCTACAAAGTGAAACAAGAGCCATAACTCTAGAAGTAATAAATGGAAATTGCTGAAATTCATTAGGCTTTTTCGTTTTATCAACTTAAATAATGCATAACAATTTAATACAGATCGGATGATAAATGTAGCCTGTAGAGTGTTTATGAGAAATAAGGACGATGGACCGACGTAGGTGACGGCAATATACGACCACATTTCCATGTGGGCGTATAAAACGTATTTCTTCTAACGCGAACAATGGAGCTGTGACACCTATTATTATTATTGTCAGGTTGTGTAGTTAATTGTATGACTTACTTATTTTGTAAGTTGTCATTATCCTGCTGAAGTTGATATATTTCTGAATGCTGGGACTTTTCACCACTAACTAAGTTATTTATCTGAGAACGTAGCTCCTGTTCTTGATTTCTACTGCTCTGAAGTTCACTTTTTATCTTTTTGATATCACTTTCTAACCTGCAAAAAAGAACGACATGTTTACACAATATAAATTACTTAAAATAACTCTGCATACATACATTATGTAGGCCATAACAGCCATGAATACATTACGACAAATTTCAAGTCATATTCAATCCTAGAAATAGCCAACTTCCACTGATTAATTTCCAGTTTTTCTCATTTGGAGAAAGACAGGTTGCCAGGCAACAAAACATACACCACAGCAGCTAAATCGTCCTAGCGGTCGACAAGGGTTGTCACATATTTATTCCTTTGTGGGTAATTGGGAGCCTTTACAAGAAAATTCCATACAGATCAGATTATAATTTTTGTCGTTTGAGGGTTCACAAGGTTCTACAAACTGAAACAAGGGCCTCAACTCCGAAAGTAGTCTACAGAAATTGTTGAAATTTGACAGGCTTTTTCGTTTTACTAATTTAAATAATGCATATAAATTTCATACAGATAGGATGATCACTTTTGTCATTCAAATGTTCACAAAGTAAAACAAGGACCATAACTCTAGAAATTATTGACGGAAATTGCTGAAATTCAATAGACCTCTGTTTCACAAATTTAAATGATGCAAATAAATTTCATACATATTGGATGATAACCATCATTAATCGAGCATTAACAAGGTTGAACAAAGTGAAACAAGGGTCATAACTCTAGAAGTAATTATTGTAAATTGCTGAAATTCAATAGGATTCCTGGTTTCATTAATTTAAAGAATGCATATAAATTTCACAAAGATCGGATGATAACTTTTGGCTTTAGAGTGTTCACAAGGTTCAATAAAGTGAAACAAGGGCCATAACTCTAGGAGAGAGAGAGAGAGAGAAATGGAGTTTAACGTCCACTCGACACAAACTAGGTCATTTCGGGACTAACATACGGTTTAATTTTATTTTAATAATTTGCTTGGACGTAGGGGTCTTTAGCAGTGGGAGGAAACCGGAGGACCCAGAGAAAACACACGAGGTTTGACAGTCGTCCCTACTCCTTGTCACGTATGACCGGGGACTCAATGACAGGCCTTATGATACAGCACGCACATGCTAACCATTCGACCATCCAACCCCCCATAACTCTAGGAGCAATTATTGTAAATTGATGAAATTCAATAGGCTTCTTCGTTTCACTAATTTAAATAATGCATTTCAATTTCAGAAAGATCGGATGATAACTTTTGGCGTTAGAGCGTTCACAACGTTCAAACTCTAGACTTAATAAACGGAAAATAGGCTTTTTCGTTTCACTAATTTTAATAATGCATATAAATTTCACAAAGATCGGATGATAACTTTTGCGTAATTGTAGAAATAAAAGCTAGAGATTAGTAAACTTGGTTACAGAAAAATTAAGAAAATTACATATTCCTGTGCTATTTTATAGCAATGTTGATAATTCATGTGGCACAAAAATGTAATGCATGACTTTTATTATGCACCATAATATTATAGGGGGTGCTAGTTTCACTATTTGTCTTTAATCAAGTAAGAAATTTCAATAATAAAAGCTTTTTATATATCCCAAAGGGAAGATTTCATTAATAAATAATTATTATAAACCCTACTAATATTTCATTTCTTTGTCCAATATATAATTTTTTGTGTACACCATGCTGACAAAGTGGTATAGACAAGTGTCAAAGTGAATTCACGATACCCTAGCATGATGAAACAAGCCAACAGTGAGGCTGATGTCTCCCGCCCAAATCCCCAAATAAATAGATGGCACATATTAATTAATTGCATATTCACCTTTTTCAAAAGTATCAAGCAATCAATCTGATTATCAACTATACACTAAGTTCATCACTCTCCACTAGTTAGAATCAAAGTTAACTTGTCCCAAAGCATCGACCAATGAAATTGCTTGTCTCTGCTTAATTAGCTTTAGCTGGAAATGTTAATCATTGAACTCAGTTCAGTCAAGAAATTCATCTAATGAACATCTACATCATGTTTAACCATTCTACCTCAATTAAAAGCAGAGTTGTTGTTATGTTCCAAAGTCTTGACCAATCAAATTGCTTATCGCTCCTTAGCTTAAGCAGAAAATTCCCATCCTCGAACTTAATCAAAGTAATGATATAATGAATCTATACTTGGAGTTTCATCGCTCTCACTCAATTAGAACCAAAGTTATCATGTTCCAAAGTCTCAAACACTCAAATTGCTTATCTTTGCTTAGCCTTAGTGGAAAATGCGCATGATTGAACTCACCTGATAGACACCTACACCAAGTTTGAACATTCTACCTCAATTAGAAGAAGAGTTATAGTGTTCCAAAATCTCGACTAATCAGATTGAAATCTCTACTTTGCCTAAGCAGAAAATGCTTAGCATCGAACTTTGTTAAGTTAATGATGTAATGAAACTATACACAATAACTCAATTAGAATTAAAGTTGTCGAGCTCGAAGACTCGACCAATCAAATTGCTTATCGCTTTGCTTACCTTGGGCCGAAAATGCTCATTATTGAACTTAGTCAAGGTGTTGATGTGATGAAATTATACAGCATCCTTGAACTCCATCAAGGCATTGACCTAATAAACACCTACACCAAGTCTGAACATTCTAGCTCAATTAGAAGGAGAGTTATTGTGTTCCAAAAATTGTGACGGACAGACAGACGGACAAAAACATGAAATATGAATTTAATTAAGTTTTCAAGATAGTAGACACGCCCACATTTTTTCAAGAGATAGACAGAGAAGGAACTAAATAAAAGTGATTTTTCGTACAATAAGGGGTCATTATCCAGGGAGTTAGGGTGTGACAGGAAGCGAGATCTTTGGGATATAATCATATATTTTAAGTTTCATCAAAATCGGATAAATATTGTGACCTCTAGAAGGGTCCACAACCTTGGTATTACAAACTTTTACACTATTTGAGGACGGGGAGTAGCCATTTTGTCGGGCAGTTTTGATTTGACACTCAGGAAATTCGACCTCAACCTTCATTAACAGTGATATATTCGAAGTTTTTTTTTAAAAATCAGATAAAGATAGGTTGCCAGGCAACAAAACATACGCCCACAGCAGCTAAGTCGTGCGTGGAGTCAACAAGGGTTGTCGCATATTTTTTTCTTTTGTCAGAAATATAAACAATTACAACACACTAAAATCTGATAACAAGTAACACCCCATTTCGCTTCTAGTTCTGCCCTATTCCAACATTTAGCATACAAAACATTTAATATCAATTTTCATAACAATTGGAAATTGTTGAAAATTGACAGGCTTCTTTATCTCATGACCTTAAACACTGTGTATACCGGTACATTTAAAGTAGCTAAGTCTCTAACTCAATATCGTCCAAAATCGTCGACATTGAAAACACATTTTATTTGTCGGTTTAAATTAACATTGATGTTGTGATCTTACCGGGAAAAGATGGCCTTCTGATATCCAATATTTAAGACAAAATAAACATTTTACAATTGGTACACGAATTGTGTACCATAATGCGTTTCAGCGCTATTTGTAATTAGGGACTCGAAAATGAGGCCAGGCATATTCCACAAGTCATGTCAAACGCCAACGCTATATTCTTATCTGGAGAGCAAGCCCAATAAATAATATCGGCATAGACTGGAATAACCAGACGCTAGAGATCAGGGCTCACACTGCCGGTCGCCAAAGTCGCAATTTGCGATAAAAACATGAAAGTGGTGATTAAAATTTGATTTTGGCAATAATGTTTTGCGGTACTGGAGATTCTCTTTGAGAACTGGCTGAAAAAATATTAAAATTCTAATCATATTTATCCTGGATTAACCATTAATTGATCGAGTGTCAATCACATGGCTGAATACTATAAATTAATCAACTGGCTGATAATCCGGATTGCGTCAATGACTAATACTAACTAGATCTGCATAGCAGATATCAAAGCTTTCATATTAACTGCAAAAGGGATTATTATAATCTATTGAAAGAATAAGTATAAATGTCATCAGGTATCTGAAAAATTACATTTACCTTATGAACAAGATGGGGAAAAATACAAAACAAAAATTGTCGTATTGTGGCTACCCTCAAGGCATATTTAGTAAACAGTATATTATATACAGAGTATGTTAACTCTTGAATAGTCCTTTTAGTAGTTTCGCGTACACAGGACATAAAGTAGTTGTGCTTCAATGTAAACAGTCCCGTTCCTTGCATTTAGTTTTAGAGTTAGCATGAAGGCTTTCATCATACCCAAGATGTCAAAAGGTTACCGGATGCAAGACAAAGACTATCCCCACACATCCCCCCCAAAACACACCTGCATAACTCAGATATTAACATGTTCTTTGCATGCGCATTACAATAGAAGGGAATTGAAAAATAAAGTTGAACAATTCACAACGTAATATATCTTAGATCGATAGAATATGACAGACTCAGGCAATCCAAATATGAAATTGAAAACTCAAAATTACAAGAAATAAACATTTCTGTAAATTTTCAAGGAAAAATGAGAACGGCATGGTATCTCAATTCGACCGTAATTGTATCCGCAATATACCCGCTGTACAAAAATATAACTTTTTTCGAAAATCGGTCAAGAATTGGCATAATTAGGGCCGATTTTCATTTCAATTTTCATACACGTTTAAAGATTTACATCACTTCCGGTCTGTTCACATCTTTCGCGATAGTTATAAGTAACAAACTGTTTAAAACATGGGACAAATCAATATTCGGAACTCTGTTATAGTTTCAGAGATCTACACGAATTGTAAAAGGAATAAAAAAGCAGTTTTCCGAATGGGACAAAAAAGGTATCTGTAGTCTCAGCTAACAATCAAAACCTTACATCATACTCACCAGCATTAATTTTTTATTATTGAAAAAGAGGGGCGACTTCCTTATAAACAGCTGCAGCGTAGTGCTTTATTTTCACTGGTGTCAAGTGATGACGTCATGTAGACAAAAAAAACTTGGATATTAATTTCTGGGGTAACTGTTATTTACTTAAATGAATGATTTTCACTCTAGAAGCATCAATCCCATCGGACAAAAAATGTGGTCCTGTGATGTCGCAGGGTTAATATGTATATTAATATTGCGCTAGCGTGTTTTATTTTTGTGTGTTGAGGTTGTCCATAATAGTTTGTTCTTTGTCGGTAAGCTTGGGTGTGTCCGTCACGTGAGATTGTTTGAATGATCTGATTGGTTTTTAACTCGAGCCGCGAAATGCACGGAGATTCAACTGCACTCCACTATAGAACATCGCACAGGCTAGACATATGGAATAGACACATTTACATGTGTGTGTATTTAAATAACATATTCCATATGTATTTATAGTATTAAACCACACGTTGAATGGTAAGATTTTATTCAATATCTTATATTTATCATCAATAGCTTTATAGTTGCTGATGAGTTTAAGTATGCATGTTCGATCCATTTTCGTAAACTGCTATAATTTATGGTGGATCTGTGTTATGTATAATATTTTCCTTAATATTGTTTATCTGTATTGGGTGTAAATTGTTTTACAGGTCATTTACCATAATTTGTGTGATTAACCTAAATAAAGAATCCTACATGTTTTGGCGTGTTTTTAACTAACGACCCCGTGACATATATACTGGTGTGCATGTAAAAGATCCCTTGGCAGTTGGATTTCGGTACATTAGCCCAGTTGGAGCAGAACAGTAGGACATTAAACCCCATTTCATTTCATTTTCAATACACTTAAGGCAATTTTAAAAGACTCATTTTGATGGATTCCAGAAAAATGTCCGTTACAACTAATGTAACATGGTTGTGATGGGGGGAGGGGCATTTATATTGGCAGTGATTCACTTTTTTAAAAAAAAATACGCCTAAACTACAAACCTGAAGCCCGTTCTCATTAACCCAACTGGACCAGAAAAGTAGAATCTTAAACCCTATTTTACCCGTCCTTACAATAGCAACGCCCCTTGGGATTAGTCTGTTCACCTTATAATCCTCGTCTATTTATTTGTCAATTCAAATACGCCTTCACAACAAAATAAACAACCGTCTTCATTAGTCCAATTGGGGAAGAAAAGTAAGACGCCAAACCCCATTTTATTTAATCTTACAAGATATACGCCTTTCGGCATAAACACTGTTTACGACATTGTCGTCAAATTTATCTGTCGATTCTCTATAAACTTGTAATATCTCTATTCTTCTACATGGGCTGTTTGAACACTGGGGTGTAACGATTAAAAAATATTTATATATATATATATATATATATATATATAGACATAAGATAGGTTGCCAGGCAACAAAACATACGCCCACAGCAGCTAAATCGTCCGAGTGGTCGACAAAGGTTGTCGCATATTTATTCCTTTGTAGGTAATTGGTGGCCTTTACAAGACAGTTCCATACAGATCAGATTATAAATTTTGTGGTTTGAGGGTTTACAAGGTTCTACAAACTGAAACAAGAGTCCCAACTCTGGAAGTAATCTACTGAAATTGTTGAAATTCAACAGGCTTTTTCGTTTTACTAATTCAAATAATGCATATAAATTTCATACAGATCGGATAACTTTTGTTGTTTGAACGTTCACAAGGGCCATAACTCACGGCGTAATTAACGGAAATTGCTGAAATTCAATGGGCTTCTTCATTTCACTAATTTAAATGATACATATCAATTTCAAACAGATCGGATGATAACTGTTGTTATTAGAGCTTTCACAAGGATCAATAAAGTGAAACAAAGGCCATAAATCTAGACGTAATAAACGGAAATTTCTTAAATTCAATAGGCTTCTTCGTTTCACTAATCTAAATAATGCACATACATTTCACAAAGATTGGGTGATAACTTTTGGCGTTGGAGCGTTCACAAGGTTCAATAAAGTGAAACAAGGGTCATAACTCTAGACGTAATAAAACGGAAATTGCTGAAATTCAATAGGCTTTTTCGTCTCACTAATTTAAATAATGCATATAATTTTCAGAAAGATCGAATGATAACTTTTGACGTTAGAGCGTTCACAAGGATCAATAAAGTGAAACAAGGGCAATAATTCTAGACATAATAAACAGAAATTGCTGAAATTCAATAGGCTTCTTCGTTTCACTAATTTAAATCATGCATATAATCTTCACAAAGATTGGGTGATAACTTTTGGTGTTAACAGCGTTCACAATGTTCAATAAAGTGAAATAAGGGCCCTAAATCTAGATGTAGTAAACAGAAATTGCTGAAATACAATAGGCTTCTTCGTTTCACTAATTTAAATAATGCATATAGATTTCAGAAAGATCAAATGATAACTTTTGGAGTTAGAGTGTTCACAAGGTTCAATAAAGTGAAACAAGGGCCATAACTCTAGACGTAATAAACAGAAATTGTTGAAATTCAATAGGCTTCTTCGTTTCACTAACTTAAAAATTGCATATAAATTTCACAAAGATCGTATGTTAACCTTTGGCATTAGAGCGTTCACAAGGTTCAACAAAGTGAAACAAGGGCCATAACTCTAGACGTAATAATCGGAAATTAAATAGGCTTCTTCGTCTCACTAATGTAAACAACATATATCAATTTTAAAACAATTGGATGATAACTTTTGGCGTTAGAGTGTTCACAAGAAATTGTGGACGATGGACGGACGGACGGAACCGACAGGCAGACGGAGAGGAGCGACGGCAATATACGTATAGAGCTTTCACAAGAAATTGTGGACGATGGACGGACGGACGGACGGACAGACAGACTGACGGGGGCGAAGGCAATATACGTCCACATTTCAATGTGGGCGTCTAAAAATGTATTAAGATAAAGCCTTAAAATCGATGCTATGTATAAACAGTCCTACCTTGATAAAGAATAATCCTATAATTCACTATTGCCAGTTGAGAAATTGGCAAAAATATTTTTAACTTCAAATTCAAACGTTTGAATATAGGTATTCCATGGTAGGGAATAGAAAAATAGGGAGGTAATTAGGAGTTAATTGTGTTATTATTTCCGGTGTGAAATATTTTTGAGTGTGAGAATGATATCTATGATCGTATAATAGTGAGTTGACAACCTATTGAGCAAAAGACATAGAAATAATTATGTTATGACTTTCTTAGAAAATATAAAATTGTAGCTTTAATTTCAGCGAGTGTTAAGGCATTTTCAACACATGAAGTGGCTTATTATAGCTATTTCGTCAAGATTAAAATATCAGCCTGGTTATGTAAGTCGTGCTGGAAATTAAGTTGCGTTCAAATTACACACTTGAATTGTATACAACTTAATGTCAGTAATATGCGATTTGTGATAATATTACTGTATAAGAATGTCGATTTATAGATACTGCATACATTGAGCAGAACATATTTTCAATGTACATTAATATCTGATATTAAAATATTTGTAACGTTATATTTCCTTTGCTGTTCTGTAAGTTTTTAGGATTTCCTGTTAAGCAGAACACTAACAGCAATGAAATTCGTTCAGTTAACCGAGAGAACACCACATTTAAAGTAAATCATAAAAGTAGGCCCTCGAATTTTTACAGTGAAAGACTTTCAAAATTTAACAGCATATTTTAAATTTATTTCCTATATCACGATATTAATCATATCGTAGGCCATGAATCATGATGTGCATTGTATCGTGGCCTGGCGTATCGTTGCCGGCCTAATAATTTTTGAATAATATTAGCTAAAATGTGTCAATTGAATACTCAGAGGGCATGTCCAGCTTTTTATGCCTGTTTATTTACAGTTCAAGGGTGGTAATTCTAAATTATTGACATTTTATAAAATATCATAATATACTGATAATATCTTGATATTTTCTCTAAATATCCCAATATTGCCCATCTCTAAATCAAGTTAAAACTTTATCCACAGGTATACAAAAACTGTATCATGTTCATAGTCCAATTGTTGACAGAATGACAAATATAATACGCCCACATGATAATCATGTACCATAGTCCTTCCATAGTAAACGAACTGTACCAAGTATGATAGTATGTTCAAATGCATGATATAAATACAGACCTAAGTATAACCTCGTCCTTGTTATTGGTAAAAGAAGCTGGTGATAAATCCTTGCTGTAGTTCTTGCTTTTTTTATTAGCACTATTTTCTTTACTGCTGTTAAGTTTATTAGCTGCACTTTTAGCCATCCCACTGGTTTTAAAAGACTTAGTTTGCTGTTCACTACTCTCAACATTTTCATTAAATTGATTCACATTTGACTTCTTTTGCCAAGATTTCTCTATAAATTCCACTTCATCTGCTTCATTTATATCAACTGACTTAGTCTGTTTTTTATTGTCTTTTTCTCTTTCTCTTTCTTTATCTTTATCTCGATCTTTTTCTTTATCTTTTTCTTCTTCTACTTTCACTTTTTTACCAGCTACACCATTTGAGATTACTTCCTCTTCTGGTTTTGGTGTTAAGGCTGCAAAACAACAAATCTTTTAATGAATTGCACAAGAGGACCATCAGTAACATTTGTAAGCAAGTCCATAGAACACTTTAGGGGTAGTATAATTTACATGATTAACAGGGTCTCATGTGTAAAAATGTTGATTTGTAAAAAAAACTTTAGATTCTGTCATTAAAGCTTCCAGTATATTATCTCAAAAGATGTTATATTTTAGTATTTTCAAGTGTATTTTGAATCATTGCTTTATTTTTAGGAACACAGTCAAAACTTCTTTGAGAAAATAACCCTTAAAATGTGATCAGCCACTATACAAGTTATTTCTCAAATCTATTCCGATCAAATCAAGAAAAATTCTACTGCGTGAGCCATAGCGAAAAAAAAAAGTATTTTCATAACATAAGCCTACGAATAAACTACTTATTTATAGATTTTTAAACACTTAACCTGATCCTTGGCGTCACCTCAGTTAAATTGAATTCATTGTACAATTAAACATTCCAACGCATCAAATAGTTCTCTCTTGAAAATCAACTGGTTTGACTGTATTTTCGACTGAGTTCATCAAAACATGGCACATGTCACATGATAAGCGAAACCAACAGAAGATGATGTAGGGTGAAAAGATTTCAACAACCATGTGTTGCAAAAAACAATCTGTGCTCATTTCAATCGCTGGAGTTTTGACATCAAAAAGAATTAACTAAGGACTACTATTACATAGAAGATTTATACTGAAACAATTGATCACCAGTCTACTAAATTTTATTCACAATGAATATATCACTGACTGACCAGATACAATATAAATGCAAAACTACTCAATCTTTAAAACTAATATTATGATCAAATTAAAGCTCCTGAGATAAGTTCTGGAGTGTATTTCAATGTTGCTTATATTCTTTCGTGCCAAAGATACCTAGTTAGGTCAATATATGGAAAATACCCCCTCAACCCTCAAAAGTTAGGTTGCCAGGCAACGATACATACGCCCACAGCAGCTAAATCGTCCGGGCAGTCAACAAGTGTTGTTGCATATTTTTACTATTTTCGGTAATGAAACATTTATAATCCACTAAAATCTGATTAAGAGTAACAACTCCTGTAGTAATTATCAGAAAACCATGAGAATTTGTTTGGTTTTTATAAAGTTCTGTCCCATGCTAACGCTTAGTATACAAAACTTTTAATATCATGGATTTAGCTGTTCAAGTCATAAAAATTTACTTGTTCGTATCAAGATCTTAAACTCTGTGTATCAATCTGAAGTCAATCATGAAGTAATTATCGGAAAGCCATTAGAATTTGTTTGTTTTTTATAAAGTTCTGCCCCATGCTAACATTTTGTATACAAAACTTTTAATATCATGGATTTAGCTCTTCAAGTCATAAAAATTCATTGAAAATCAATATACTTGTTCGTCTCAAGATCTTAAACTCTGTGTATCAATCTGATGTCAATCGGATGATAACTTTAGCCTTTAGAGCGGAAATCAACTCTGGCAGTAATTATCGGAAATTGCTGAAAATCAATAGGCTTCTTCGTCTCATGACCTTAAACACTGTGTATAAATTTCAGGTCAATCGGATATTAACTTTGGCTTCTAGAGTGTCCACAAGATTTTTTGAAGTGATCAAGGACCATAACTCAGGCAGTAATTATTGGATATCGCTAAAAATCAATAGGCTTCTTCTTCTCAAGACCTTAAACACTGTGTATGAATTTAAGGTCAATCGCATATTAACTCATTCGGTCCAACTTATGCCAGGCGTCAACCTAATTAGCTACTGAATTTCACCGACATACGCCACCTGTCGACTACCTAATGTCTAGTCACTTTTCCTAACGACGATTGTTGTCGGCCTCTTATATGTAAAGTTTTATTGATCAAGAAAGTTATCAAACCAGCGGCTGCCAGGCAGGATACGCCCACATTTTCGAGAGAAGGACAGAGAACACGCTAACAAGAAAGTGATTTTTCCTACTATCAAGGGCCATAATTCAGGAAATTACAATTCAATGTGCACGAATATCGAAAGGAACTGAGATCAAGTTTAAACAAAATCGGATATAAATTGTGACCTCTATAGGGTCCACAACCTTTATATACCATATTTTTACGCTATTTGAGAACGAACGGCGGCCATTTTGTCTGTCAATTTTGGGTTCATTTTCACGAAATTCAACTCAGGCGTACTGAGGGTGTAATGGTGATATAATAATAGGTGGAAAAGGTGATTTTGAGATTATGATTATACATTTGATTTATTAGCTTTTCAAGTAGATCTCATCATTCTTGTCACAAAACTTTTTACAGATTCAAAATCGGATGAAATTTTTTTTTTATGGAGGCTCAAAGTTGCGATTTTTGACTTTTCGCGGAAGAAAGGTTTTTTTAACACTTCGAAAAAGTCATTTTTGGTGTGTTTTGTGATGCCATATTTCATTTCATATCAAAACTATCAACCAGCGGCTGCCAGGCAGGATACGCCCACATTTTCGAGAGATGGATAGAGAACAAGCCAACAAGAAAGTGATTTTTAATACAATCAAGGGCCATAATTCAGGAAATTACAATTCGATATGCGCATATATCAAAAGGAACTGAGATCTTTGTGTTATAAACTTACATTTCAAGTTTCAACAAAATCGGATAAAAATTGTGACCTCTATAGGGTCCACAACCTTGATATAGCATATTTTTACGCTATTTGAGAACGAACCATGGCCATTTTGTCTGTCAATTTTGGGGCGATTTTCACAAAATTCAAACTCAACTGTCCTTAGGGTGGAACGGTAGTATAATAATACGTTTTTTTAAATTGGATAAAAATTATGACCTCTAATGGGTCCACAAGCTAAAAACATGATTTTTCGTACAATCAGGGGCTATAATTAAGGAAGCTACGGTCCAATATGGGCAAATATTAAAAGGAACCGAGATCTTTGGGTTATAAACTTATATTTCAAGTTTCAACAAAATCGGATAAAAATTGTGACCTCTATAGGGCCCACAACCTTGATATACCATATTTTTACGCTATTTGAGAATGAACGGCGGCCATTTTGTCTGTCAATTTTGGGACGATTTTCATGAAATTCAAACTCAGTCGTCCTTAGGGTGTAACGGTGATATAATACGTTTTTTAAAATCGGATAAAAATTATGACCTCTATAGGGTCCACAAGCTAAAAACGCGATTTTCCGTACAATCAGGGGCCATAATTCAGGAAATTACGATCCGCTATGCACGAATAACGAAAGGAACCAAGATCTTTGGGTTATAGACTTACATTTCAAGTTTCAACAAAATCGGATAAAAATTGTGACCTCTATAGGGTCCACAACCTTGATATACCAGTTTCTTACGCTATTTGCGAACGAACGGCGGCCATTTTGTCTGTCAATTTTGGGCTGATTTCACGAAATTCGAATTCAGTCGTCCCTAGGGTGTAACGGTGATATAATAATACGTTTTTTTAAATCGGGTAAAAATTATGACTTCTATAGGGTCCACAAGCTAAAAACGTGATTTTTCGTACAATCAGGGGTCATAAGTCAGGAAGTTACGATCCGATATGCACGAATATCGAAAGGAACCGAGATCTTTGGGTTATAAACTTACATTTCAAGTTTCAACAAAATTGGATAAAAATTGTGACCCCTATAGGGTCCACAAACTTGATATACCATATTCTTACGCTATTTGGGAACGAATGGCGGCCATTTTGTCTGTCAATTTTGGGCCGATTTTCACGAAATTCGAACTCAGTCATCCTTAGGGTGTAATGGTGATATAATAGAACGGTTTTTTAAATCGGATAAAAATTATGACTTCTATAGGGTCCACAAGCTAAAAACGTGATTTTTCGTACAATCAGGGGCCATAATTCAGGAAGTTACGGTCCGATATGCACGAATATCGAAATGAACCGAGATCTTTGGGTTATAAACTTACATTTCAAGTTTCAACAAAATCGGATAAAAATTGTGACCCCTATAGGGTCCACAACCTTGATATACCAGTTTCTTACGCTATTTGCGAACGAACGGCGGCCATTTTGTCTGTCAATTTTCGGCTGATTTTCACGAAATTCGAACTCAGTCATCCTTAGGGTGTAACGGTGATATAATAGAACGGTTTTTTAAATCGGATAAAAACGTGATTTTTCGTACAATCAGGGGCCATAATTCAGGAAGTTACTGTCCGATATGCGCAAATATCGAAAGGAACTGAGATCTTTGGGTTATAAACTTACATTTCAAGTTTCAACAAAATCGGATCAAAATTGTGATCTCTATAGGGTCAACAAGCTAAAAACATGATTTTTCGTACAAACAGGGGCCATGATCCATGAAATTTTGATCCGATACATGCCAATATCGAAAGCAGCTGAGATCTTTTGGGGATAAACCTATATTTCAAGTTTCGGCGAAATCGGATAAGAACTGTGACCTGTAGAGAGTCCACAAACAATTGTGGACGGACGGACAGGGGCGACGACATAATACGTCCACATGAAAATGTGGGCGTATAAAAATGTAGATGTAAATACATGAAATACAACTTTAAGGCTAATTATGTTTCAATTTTCACATTTGTGTAACAATTACTCTGATTTCCACAGTAACTCCAAAATATGAAGGTTTTCTCAAAAATTCCATTTTGTTAAAGTGATTTTGGTCAATTTTTTCATCAAAAATGGTCTTGTCCATGTTATATCTGAAATAAACTTACATTTCAAGTTTAAAAAAATCGGATTAAAATTGTGACCTCTATAGGGTCCACAACCTTGATATACCGTATTTTTACGTTATTTGAGAATGAACGGCGGCCATTTTGTCTGTCAATTTTGGGCGCATTTTCACGAAATTCAAACTCAGCCGTCCTTAGGGTGTAACGGTGATATAATAATATGGTTTTTTAAATCAGATAAAAATTATGACCTCTATAGGGTCCACAAGCTAAAAATGTGATTTTTCGTACAATCAGGGGCCATAATTCAGGAAGTTA